TGAAGCTTGAAATCAACCACAGGAAAAAGTCTGGAAAACCACCAAAAGCATGGAGGTTAAAGAATACACTGCAGAAGAATGAATGGGTCAACAAGGCAATTAGAGAAGAAATTTAAAAATATACAGAAACAAATGAAAATGAAAATACAACAATGCAAACATTTTCGATGTAGCAAAGGCAGTCTTAAGAGGAAAATACATTGCAATCCAGGCCTATCTCAACAAACAAGAAAAATCCTGCATACAAATCTAACAGCACACCTAAAGGAACTAGAATCAGAAGGGCAAAGACACCCCAAACCCAGCAGAAGAATAGAAATAATAAAGAGCAGAGTAGAAATTAAAAATATAGAATTCAAAAAAAAAAACAGTACAGCAGATCAAAGAAACCAAGAGTTGTTTTTTTTTTTTAATAAACAAAATTGATAAACCTCTAGCCAGGCTTCTCAAAAAGAAAAGGGAGATGACCCAAATAGGTAAAATCATGAATGAAAGTGGAATTATTACAACCAATCCCTCATAAATGCAAGAAATTATCAGGGAATACTATGAAAAATTATATGTCAACAAATTGGACAACCTGGAAGAAGTGGACAAATTCCTAAGCACCCACCCATTTCCAAAACTCAAACAGGAAGAAATAGAAAACTTGAACAGACCCATAACCAGCGAAGAAATTGAATTAGTTATCAAAAATCTCCTATCAAATAAAAGTCCAGGACCAGATGGCTTCCCAGGGGAATTCTACCAGACATTTAAAGCAGAGGTAATCCCTGTCCTTCTCAAGCCATTCCACAAAATAGAAAAGGAAGGAAAACTTCCAGACTCATTCTATGAAGCCAGCATTACTTTCATTCTGAAACCAGAGAGAGACCCAGCAACAACAAAAAAACCCAACTACAGGCCAATATCCCTGATGAATATGGATGCAAACATTCTCAACAAGACACTAGCAAATCGAATTCAACGGCATATAAAAAGAATTATTCACCATGATCAAGTGGGATTCATTCCTGGGATGCAGGGCTGGTTCAACATTCGCAAATCAATCAACGTGATACATCACATTAACAAAAAAAAAGAGAAGAACCATATGATCCTGTCAATCGATGCATAAAAGGCCTTTGACAAAATCCAGCACCCTTTCTTAACAAAAACCCTTGAGAAAGTTGGGATAGAAGGAACATACTTAAAGATCATAAAAGCCATTTATGAAAAGCCTATAGCAGCACTTTCAACAACAGCCAAATTATGGAAAGAGCCTTAATGTCCATCAACGGATGAATGGATACAGAAATTGTGGTTTATATACACAATGGAATACTATGTGGCAATGATAAAGAATGAAATATGGCCTTTTGTAGCAACGTGGATGGAACTAGAGAGTGTTATGCTAAGTGAAATAAGTCATACAGAGCAAAACAGATACCATATATTTTCACTCTTATGTGGATCCCGAGAAACTTAACAGAAGACCATGGGGGAGGGGAAGGGAAAAAAAAGTTTAGAGAGGGAGGGAGCCAGAACATAAGAGACTCTTAAAAACTGAGAACAGAGTGTTGATGGGGGGTAGGAGGTAGGGGAAAGTGGGTGATGGGCATGGAGTAGGGCACCTTTTGGAATGAGCACTGGGCGTTGTATGGAAACCAATTGACAATAAATTTCATATTAAAAAACAACCACAACAAAACAAAATATCTGCACTTGAAACTTCTTCTCTCTCTACATTTTATGTTATTGATGTCATACTTTATATCTTTTTAAATTTTGTATTTACTAAAAATTACTAGAGCTCTATTCATTTTTAATACTTCTGTATTTTAACTTTTGTACTAGAGTTAAAAGTGATATACACATTAAGGAAAATGTCAGAGAAAGACAAATACCATATGATTTCACTCATGTGGAATTTAAGAAACAACACAAGCAAAGGGAAAAAATTTAGAGACAGACAAATCAAGAAACATACTCTTAATTATAGAGAACAAACTGATGTTTACCAGAAGGGAGTGGGGGGATGGGTTAAATAGGTGATGGGGTTTAGGGAGTGCATTTGTCACGATGAGCATGGAGTGATGTATGGAAGTATGGAATTACTATACTGTACATCAGAAACTATCATAACGCTGTATGTTAGCTAACTGGAAATAAAATAAAAACTTTTAAAAAGTTATTTACCCATCAGTATTATACTATTAGAGTATTCTCAATTTGACTATATCTTCACTAATGAGTTTTATACTTTCATGTTTTTTTCTTGTTAGTGTTCATTTGTCTCAACTTGAATAATCTTTTTTTTAGCATTTCTTATAAAGTAGGTCTAGTGGTGATGAACTCCCTTAACTTTTGTATTTTTCTGGAAAAGTTTTCTCTCTTCTTCATTTCTGAAGGATTGTTTTGTCTGGTATATTATTCTTGGTTGGCAGGTTTTTAAAACTTCCTTTCAGTATTTTAAATATATCATCCCACTGTCCCCTGGCCTGCAAAGTTTGTGATGAACAATTGCTCATAGTATTATGGGAGTTTGTTTTTCATTTACTTGTTTTTATTTCTATTTTTTTTTTTTTTTGAGAGAGAGAGGAAGAGAGACAGAAAGAGAGAGCAAGGGAAGGGTAGAGGGAATGGGAGAGAGAATCTCAAGCAGATTCAACACTCAGTGCAGAGCCCAACATTGGGCTCAATCTCACGACTGTGAGATCATGACCTTAGCTAAAATGAAGAATCAGACACTTAAGTGACTAAGCCACCCAGGCGTCCATGGGAGTTTCTTTGTATGTGATGACTCATTTTTCTCTTGTAGTGTTCAAAGTTCTCTGTCTTGGAATTTTGAGAAATTTATTATAATCTGTCTTGGTGAAAAATATGCTTCATCTATTTGGGTTTATTTGGGCTTTGATGATCTGGATGTCCATGTCCCTCTCTTATTTATGAAGTTTCTCATTATTTCTTTAAATAAGCTTTCTCTACCCTTCTTTCTTTGCTCCTTCCAGGACTCCCATGATACGTATATTCGTTTATTAGACAATGTTCTATAAGTCTCAAGTTTTTTTCACTTTTTTTCAATTATTTTTCTTTTTGTTCCTTGACTTGGTAATTTCAATTGACCCATCTTTGAGCTCGATGATCTTTTCTTCTTCTTAGTGATAAAGCACTCTATTGAATTTTTCAGTGCACTCATTTTTCAGCTCCAGGTTTTCTGTTTGTTTTTTTCCCTATGGTTTCTATCACTTTCTTGAACTTCTTGTGTATTGTTTTCTTGATTTTATTTAGTGGTCAATCTGCATTGTCTTTTAGTTCACTAGGCATCTTACAGACAATTATTTGGAATTCTTTGACAGTTAATAGATCTCTACTTCTTTTGGGTGAGTTTCTGATGCTTTATTTTGCTCCTTTATTGGTGTCATTTCCCCTGGATATTCCTGATTCTTGTGTCTTGTGGTCTTGTGTCGGTGGTTGTCTATTTGAAGATGTAGGCACATCTCCCTGTCGTTACAGATGATTGGAAAGGAAAGCCCTTTAGAGTCAGAGCAAACAGAGATTTTGGGTGGCCCAGCTGATGGGCTACACAGGTGGGATCAGTGTTGGAGTCCTTGGGTAGGCTGGTCTGGTGCCTGGATCAGTTGGCCAAACTTTCAGCCTGGATCTTCAGGGGCAAGCTTGCAGTCTGGGACCAGGGGGCTGGTCTGGCACTGGGGCAGACCTGTAGTGTGGATCTACAGGAGGCCTGCCTGGAGGCTGGGTCTGTGGTTGCATTCTATAGGGTAGGGCTGCAGGGGCCAGGCTGGGACCACAGGGACATCCTGGTGCTGTGTTAGTCCTGAAGCTTGAGGGTCCAAGTAATAGCTCGGGCAGGCCTAGAGCCTAGGTCTGTGGGTGCCACCCTGGAGATGGATCAATGGAAGATGGGTAATTGGGTTCACTGGGGTGGGTCTGCTGCTGGGGTTGTGAAGTCAGGTGTTCACTTTACTCTCCTTCACCCATGCAGAGGTTGGCTATCTCTCTCTGTACTGTGCTGTGTGAGCTTGGGAGGGGGTGATATGTTTAATATTAAAATGTCCTCCCTACCCTCTGCAATGCACTATTTCTTATTTCTGTGCTCCCCTCAGGTGCTGTAATGTCTCAGCTGGATTGTATAGTTCTTATGAAGGGATTTTCATGCATGAAAGTTTGCTCAAATTAATTTCACCATGGGGAAACAGCAAAGAAAACTCCTATTCAGTCAACTTGCTGAGATCACTCCTCCATGGAAACTAAACTTGAATTTAAAATCTGCGGGGCGCCTGGGTGGCGCAGTCGGTTAAGCGTCCGACTTCAGCCAGGTCACGATCTCGCGGTCCGTGAGTTCGAGCCCCGCATCAGGCTCTGGGCTGATGGCTCAGAGCCTGGAGCCTGTTTCCGATTCTGTGTCTCCCTCTCTCTCTGCCCCTCCCCGGTTCATGCTCTATCTCTCTCTGTCCCAAAAATAAATAAACGTTGAAAAAAAAATTTAAAATCTGAGAGTATTCATGGTGCTTGGCTAGTTTAGTCGGTTAAGCGTCTGACTTTAGTTTAGGTCCTGATCTCAACATTTATGAGTTCAAGCCCCGCATCAGGTTCTCTACTGTCAGCGCAGAGCCTGCTTCAGTTCTGTCTTCCTTTTTCACTGCCCCTTGCCCACTCTCTCTCTCTCAAAAATAAAAATAAAACATTAAAAAAAATGTCAGAACATTCAGAAGGCACATTGTTCACCCATTTCAATGCACTGAGGTACATATCTTAGAACATTTTGGATCTTCCACTGTCCTCCTTAGGGATCATGGTATCTGGCTTTACATGTTCATCTCTGTCCTATCCACTAACGATTTCTCAGTGGCACAAATTTTGCAAACCTTGCTTTGCCTGGCTCAGGTACTAGAAAAAGTCTATATTTATATTGAGAAATATGGCTCCACTTCTGCTCTTCGATATACTTTTTGTGTCTAATCACTATTAAGAAGCTAAGAGTGTACCTCAGTACCGACCTTCACTTTCATCCACAGAAGAAGTATAAAAAACTGTTCTTTCTCGCAACAAGCGCTTTGAAATTGTGATTGGTTTGTGCCTTCTTGCTGTCACTCGAGGTGGAGGCACTGGAGGTGTAGCACTTTCTTCAGGTGGACCTGAATAGATCTGTAAAAGGAGGACATTTTCAGGAAACAATTAGAAAGACTGAATTTTTGTCTCCCTAATGCTAACTAGCAATTGATGCTCACTAGCATTACATCTAGAGTCTGCCATAGCAATTCTAATATGACTAAAGGAATTGGGGGGGGGGGATTTTTAAGAATCACTCTAGCTACCAGCAAGTGTTTAGAGGTCTTCCTTCCTGTTTACCACATAGGACCTGACACTTTACAATGTGGAGGAAAAAATGCAGACAAGAACTGCAATATCAGTCCTGGATTTTTCACTTACTTCCTGAAAAACCGTAGGCAAATTACCTCCTATCTCTAAGCTTTAGATTCCTTATCTGTAACATGGGAAGACCACCTACCTCACAGTGTGACAAAAATAAGGTGAAAAGGGCAGTCAAGGTACATTGTATGGGTAGGGGTGGGTTGTGGAGGGTTACTAAATGCACCAAATATTTCAGAAAGAATACCAAATAAACTGGTTAAAGTGTTTGCTTCAAGACAGGAATAATGAATGGCTGAGGAAAGGATGGAGGAAGCCTATTTCTCACTCCTATATCATTTTGATCTTTTAAAATTTCATACCATGTATGCACTACTTATTCAAAAAGGAAAGGGGAAAACCAAAATGTCTTATATGATATAAAAAGTGCTGAACAAAAGAAGAGAAGCTATGGTTACATTTTTATATAGTATCTCATATGTATTTGAGAAACTTTCTTGTCTCTGGGGAGACTGAGCTTTTGGCCAGAGTGGACCCACTTTGGGAGGACACACGTGTGGTGAGGGAAGAAGGGGACCATTGAATAATGCAATAATGAAATCAACCCCAATGATTAGTGCAAAGAGAAATGTCAGAGCCCAACATTTCATCAGGCTGCATAGTCACAGAAATTAAATGATTGGGAACACAAACGCTGTGTAAAAGCTGGACAATGATAGAAAGCAGTGCAAGCACAATCAAAGGCACTACATGTCTCAACATTTCATGACATAGGAAAGAGACAATATGGCATAGTAGCAAGCAGAGGAGTTTTGAGGCCATACAGTTTCACAATGATTAGTAATAATATTTTAAATAGCTACAATTTTGTGAGCATAGGCTTAGGTACTGTAGAGTTTCTTAAGAATATTCTTTGCTAGACCTATACACAGAAACTTGGCAGGCCAGAAAGGAGGGGCAGGATATACTAAATGTGCTGAATCAGAAAAATATGCAGCCAAGAATTCTTCATCCAGCAAGGCTGTCATTCAAAATAGAAGGAGAGATTAAAAGTTTCCCAGACGAACAAAAATTAAAGGAGTCCAATAAAAAGACATAGGGTAACAGAATGGATAAAAAAACAAGATCCATCTGTATGTTGTTTACAAGAGACCCACTTTAGACCTAAAGACACCTTCAGATTGAAAATACGGGGATGGAGAACCATCTATCATGCTAATGGTCAACAAAAGAAAGCCAGAGTAGCCATACTTATTTTTTTTTCAATATATGAAATTTATTGTCAAATTGGTTTCCATACAACACCCAGTGCTTATCCCAAAAGGTGCCCTCCTCAATACCCATCACCCAGGCTCCCCTCCCTCCCACCCCCCATCAACCCTCAGTTTGTTCTCAGTTCTTAACAGTCTCTTATGCTTTGGCTCTCTCCCAGTCTAACCTCTTTTTTTTTCCTTCCCCTCCCCATGGGTTTCTGTTAAGTTTCTCAAGATCCACATAAGAGTGAAACCATATGGTATCTGTCTTTCTCTGTATGGCTTATTTCACTTAGCATCACACTCTCCAGTTCCATCCACGTTGCTACAAAAGGCCATATTTCATTCTTTCTCATTGCCACGTAGTATTCCATTGTGTATATAAACCACAATTTCTTTACCCATTCATCAGTTGATGGACATTTGTACCCCAATGTTTATAGCAGCACTCTCAACAATAGCCAAATTGTGGAAGGAGTAGCCATACTTATAACAATATAGACTTTAAAATAAAGACTGCAACAAGAGATGCAGAAGGGCATTATGTCATAATCAAGGGCTCTATCCACCAAGAAGACCTAGCAATTGTAAACATTTATGCTCCAAATGTGGTAGCACCCAAATATATAAATCACTTAATCACAAACATAAAGAAACTCATTGATAATAATGCCATAATAGTAGGGGGACATTAACATCCCACTTACAGCAATGGATGGATCATCTAATCAGAAAATCAACAAGGAAAAAATGGCTTTGAATGACATACTGAACCAGATGGACTTAACAGATATATTCAGAACATTTTATCCTAAAGCAGTGGAATATACATTCTTCTAGAGTGCACATGGAACGTTTTCCAGAATAGACCAAATACTGGGACACAAAGCAGCCCTCAACAAGTACAAAAAGATCGAGATCATACTGTGTATGTTTTCAGACCACAATGCTATGAAACTCGAAATCAACCACAAGAAAAAATTTAGAAAGGTGGCAAATATTTGAAGACTAAAGGACATGCTACTAAAGAATGAATGGGCTAACAAAGGAGTTAAAGGGGAAAGGAAAAGTACATGGAAGCCAGTGAAAATGATAACACCAAAGCCCAAAACCTCTAGGACACAGCAAAGGCAGTCATAAGAGGGAAGTATATAGCACTCCAGGCCTTCCTAAAGAAGGTAGAAAGATCTCAGGTACACAACCTAACCTTACACCTTAAAGAGCTGGAAAAAGAAGAGCAAATAACACCCCAAACCAGCAGAAGACAGGAAATAATAAAGATTAGAGCAGAAATTAATGCTATTGAAACAAACAAACAAACAAAAAACCAGTAGAACATATCAATGAAATGAGAAGCTGGTTCTTTGAAAGAATTAACAAAATTGATAAACCACTAGCCAGTTTTATCAAAAAGAAAAAGGAAAGGACCCAAATGAATAAAATGAGGAAGGAAAGAGGAGAGATAACAAACAACACAGCAGAAATAAAAATGATAATGAGAATATTATGAGCATTGATACACCAATAAAATGGTCAAACTGGAAGAAATGGACAAATTCCTAGAAACATATAAACTACAAAAACTGAAACAGGAAGAAGTAGAAGATTTGAGTAGACCCATAAACGGTAAAAAAAATAGAATTAGTAATAAAAACCTCCCAAAAAACATGAATCCAGGGCCATATGGCTTTCCAGGGGAATTGTACCAAACATTTAAGGAAGAGTGAACACCTATTCTCTTGAAGCTGTTCCAAAAAGTAGAAATGGAAGGAAAACTGCCAAACTCTTTCTATGAAGCCAGCATTACCTTGATTCCCAAACCAGACAAAGACCCCACTAAAAAGGAGAACTATAGATCAATTTCCCTGATGAACATGGATCCAAAAATCCTCAACAAGATAATAGCCAAAAAAAAGAGGTTAGAGTGGGAGAGAGCCAAAGCATAAGAGACTGTTAAAAACTGAGAACAAACTGAGGGTTGATGGGGGGTGGGAGGGAGGAGAGGGTGGGTGATGGGTATTGAGGAGGGCACCTTTTGGGATGAGCACTGGGTGTTGTATGGAAACCAATTTGACAATAAATTTCATATATTAAAAAAAAAGATAATAGCCAACTGGAAACAACAATACATTAAAAAAATTATTCACCATGACCAAGTGGGATTTATACCTGGGATGCAGTGCTGGTTCAATACCTGCAAAACAATCAATGTGTTTCATCACATCATTAAAAGAAAGGACAAGAACCATATGATCCTCTCAATAGATGCACAGAAAGCATTTGACAAAATACAGCATCATTTCTTGATAAAAGCCCTCAAGAATGTAGGAATATAAGGATCATACTTCAAGATCATAAAAGCCATATATGAAAGACCCACCGCTAATATCATCCTCAATGGAGAAAAAGTGAGAGTTATCACCCAAAGGTCAGGAACAAGACAAGGATGTCCACTCTCACCACTGTTATTCAACATAGTATTGTGGAAGTCTTAGCCTCAGCCATCAGATAACACAAAGGAATAAAAGGCATCCAAATTGGCCAGGAGGAGGTCAAACTTACACTCTTTGCAGATGACATGATACCCTACATGGAAAACCCAAAAGATTCCACCAAAAAACTGCTAGAACTGATTCATGAATCGGAAAAGTTGCAGGATATAAAATGAATGCACAGTGATCAGTTGCATTCCTATACACCAACAATGAAGCAACAGAATGTGAAATCAAGGAATCGATCCCACTTACAATTGCACTGAAAACCATAAAATACCTAGGAATAAATGTAACCAAAGAGGTGAAAAACCAATGTGCTGAAAACTATAGAAAGTTTATGAAAGAAATTGAAGAAGACACGAAAAAATGAAAAAGTATTCCATGCTCAAGATTGGAAGAACAAATAATGTTAAAATGTCAATACTACCCAAAGCATTCTACATATTCAATGCAATCCCTATCAAAATAACACCAGCATTCTTCACAGAGCTACAAAAAACAATCCTAAAATTTGTATGGAACTGGAAAAGACCCAGGAAAGCCAAATCAATCTTGAAAAAAAACAAAGCAAGAGGCATCACAATATCAGACTTCAAGCCATATTACAAAGCTATAATCATTAAGACAGTATGGCACTGGTACAAAAGCAGACACTCAGATCAATGGAACAGTATAGAGAACCCAGAAATGGACCCACAAGCATATGGCCAACTAATCTTTGACAAAGCAGGAAAGAATATCCAATGGAATAAAGACAGTCTCTTCAGCAAATGGTGCTGGGAAAACTGGACGGTGACATGCAGAAAAATGAACCTGGACCACTTTATTATACCATACACAAAAATAAACTCAAAATGGATGAAAGACCTAAATGTAAGACAGGAAGCCATGAAAATTCTTGAGCAGAAAGCATGCAAAAACCTCTTTGATCTTGGCCGCAGCAACTTCTTACTCAACACGTCTCCAGAGGCAAGGGAAACAAAAGCAAAAATGAACTATTGGGACCTCATCAAAATAACAAGTTTCT